GAGGAAGGAGGGGACTGTCTCGATGGAAGGTTCAGCGGAGGCGCCCTCGCCTTTGCGGGTGCACCCGCCGCAGCGCAGCTCCGGTCGCCGCAGGACCGGGGCGCGTGGAGACGGGTGGGGGCGGTTTGCATGCGTGTTTGTCTGTGCGTCTGGCCGGGGACCGGGAGGACATGTGTGTTTGGGCTGTGCACTGTGGGGAGCTGGGTCTGCGCCTTTATGTCTGTTCCCTGAAGTGGGTGGAACGTTGGCCCGTTCCGGGAATGTTCCATGACGTGGTGCAGCCACAGGAAGGGGGTTAACGAGGGGCTCTGTGCCGCGGCGGCTCTGCCGGCTTCTATCAAAGCCGAGGTGCCGCTGCTGCTCCTCCTCCTCGCTCACCTCCCTTCACCCCCCACCCCCCGCCTTTCCATTCTATGCGTCTGTGACCGGTAGGGGTGAGACAGGAAAACACTGATCTGTGTGTGTGTGTGTGTGTGTGTGTGTTGGGGGGGGTGATGCATGTGTGTGGTGTCTGTCGTACTTGGTGGGGGAGACTCCAGAGCAGCTCTGCCACCCCAGCTGTTATCGCAGATGGGTGCGATTTATACGCATGTGCCTCCCGCGTTCTGTCCCTCTTACATAACACATCTAGTGCAGCAGAGGACACGAGAAAATGCGACCCCAGCCCTCCAAGCCCAAATTGGGTAAGGGGGGTGGAAGGTCAGGAAGAGTCCGTGGGTGTTGTCCTTCAGGAACTTGGTTGCGGGGGGTGCAGGGTCGGGGTGGAAAGGAAGTGGGAAGGACGGTTTTCTTCAAGTGGTTCCTAACTCTCCTCTCTGACTTGAAAGCATTGAACTAAAAAGGACTGCAGAAACTAGTCTTCTTTAATGGGAACGTTTTGACATGCTAAGCGGAGGCAAAGTGGGTACTTTAACCTCCGGAGTGCTGAGAAGAGCTGGGGTCCTTAATAAAGACACTTGGAGCAGACAGGCAATAATGTGTGCCGAGCTGGGGGCCGTGGGGATAGCTCCGAGGGGACCAGAGAAAGCCCCTGATAATAGCTGTCACTGGAGGCCTTAGGACACCTGTAATGGCTTAGAATTCACACAGGAAACTGTGTGTGCAACTGACATTGCAAATGCTTTATTCTCTGCACAATTAGGCCTAAAGTGAACATTAAAAGACTTGTTTCCGGTACTTTCGTTATTATGGAAAATTTGAACGGATTTTCTCCTTCCCTCTGTCATTTTAAAAATAACTCAGTTTACCTCCAAATAAATATAGGTACTCCCCACCTTACCCCCTACCCCCAAGGCTAGACCTCAATAATTCACCAGAGAACTGGGTGTTTTTTTTTTTGTTTTTTTTTCTAGCATACTCAGAGCACAAGTGAAGGGCTATTGATTTTTCTCTTCAGTGCTGTAGTTTCTTTTGTAGTGCATAATCAAGCCCAGAAATTACTTGAAATATTAATAAAATCCATTTTAATTAAATTTTCAAAGATCTGTCATCCTAGAAGGCCATTTAACTGTATTAGAAACATATCTTTCAATGATAGAGTAATATTTGATGATTTTTGTCCTTGAAGAAACCAAGTTATTTAAAATATTTGCATACATATACATGTGTCTGCATATATGTAGATGTGTGTGTGTGTGTGTGTGTGAATTTGCAAATGACTGATTGCTTTTTTGCCTTATAAGAGTGTGAAAATGTTAACCAAGTAAATTGTATGATGAATAGACTGGGTTTGATTTTAGGATATGGGCCAAATGGTTTATGACAACAGAAGTGTACTCATGTGAATCAAGTTGCTATTATTTTCATTCTTAAGAGAAAATTCCTGTGGAACACTAAGAAGTCACAGTCTCATACAGAATTGTGCCTTTTTATTTTGAAGTGAAAGGTAATTTAGAAATATCCACTTAACAGTCGTGTGTGTGCTGGAGATGTCATAATCCCTTTTGACCACTAGGTTTGAACTTTATAGTTCATTTCTTCTATGCAGAAGATTGTTATAATGCAATGGTGAATCTTCTGAAAATTGCCTGAGACCATTTCTTCTTTTGAACAAGGTACAAAAGAGAAAATGAGATAATGCTGGCCTCTCCATTTCTGTTATGGTGATTGTGTTTTATGTGATTGGCTTTATTACAGACTGCTTATATTTATAGGAGGATATGTAAGATTAAATTGATATGAAATTGATTTGGGGACAATTTTGGGAATGATAGTATATGAATGAGACTTGAAGTTTAACTGTTTAGATCCTTGTGGAGATCTTCGGTAAAATACCTTTAAAGTAGATCAAGAATTTCTAAATTTCTATTTAGATGGCACTTGCTATGTATATATTATCATATAAGGAAATCATGTTATTTGAGTACATTGGAAGATTAGACAGCACAGTCTTTTGATTGATCAGCTTTCTCTTTGTGTGTTGTGTTTATAAACCTTGTTACTATGAAAACAAAACAGAGGGCAACATGTATGCAAGCATTCCTATGGAGTAAAGCTGCATGTGTCTGCTTGGGCTTTTGGCACTTTGTCACTATGCAGAAAACCAGGCTCAATCTTTTATGCTGATTCAATTTAAAATGAAGACTCTTATTTTTTTTTAAAAAATCTTTTTTTAAAATAAAAAACCCTAGTCTTGATTCAACAGCAGGAAATAACAAAAAACAAGTACTTTATTTGTGTTGGCTTTAGATTTTTGAATTATCATCAATAATTAACTAAAATTAATTTAGAAACCTCTATGTAACAAAAGAAGTTTTAAAGATCTGTAGAACATGTTATTTGGCATGAATCAAAATATAATCCATTAGACTATAAAATAATCTAATGCCTGATGTGTTAACTAGTAAGAGATGACCAACTGGATGCCCAGCTAAGGATCAAACAGGCCCATAATCTCCTGAATTTAGCAGTAAACAGTTTTCACATTTTGATACATAGCATTAGCAAAATTTTATTAGTCTATACATTAGTCTTGTGTGTGTGTGTGTGTGTGTGTGTGTGTGATTTGGGTGAAAATTTACAGAGCAAATTCACTTTCCATACCGCAGTTCACATACACTTTCTCATGACACTGAGTACAATTTACCACAATGCAACAGCTCCCCTCCCACTTCTTCCCAGTAGTTGTTGCCTTTGCCTTGTGTCCTTCTCTCCATGCACGCCTGCCCCCTGAGCTGTCTCCCTGTGCATAAACAGCCCTTCTTTCTCCCATGATTGTTCTCTCCAAGGAGTGTATTTACCTTAGGTAAAGGTTTAACTCATATGCCTGTCTTTTGTTTGGGTGGAAGCCACAAGTGTGAGTTCAATTCCAGACCTGAAGGGCAGCTAGGGACCATAGTC